TGTCGCGTCGGGGAATTAAAAAAAAAAAAAAAAAAAACATGTTTTTCGCACAAACATTTGATATTTTACGGCCGGAGAGACATGTCGATCGCTGCGGGTCCATCGACATTCGTGAGAAATGACACACGAACTCTTAATATTAAATCATTTATTAATTATTGTAAATTATTTGACATACCGTCATGGACCATAGTTTTTGATCGGTTGTTAACACATTGTTGACCGGCAATTTTACTGAAAATTTATCTCATGTCACCGGCTATTATTTCGTAATTGGAAGTGGAAGTAAAATAATAAAAATAAACTTTAATAAATTTTATTTAATTTTATTATTTTTTTTTTTTAACGCATCACGAGTTAACTCGTGACCGGTCAACAATGTGTTAAAAGAGTATTATATTAAAGTTTTGATCATAAAAATTAGTCCGAAAACAATTCTGGCATAATAATTAATTATTCCGACATCTATATACCTTCTTTTCGGACTCTTAGTTCTGACGAAACCTTACTGTGATATTTTTTTAACAAACTGATCAAAAACTGGGTCCCCGTGACGGTATATTGCATTTATTTAACAAAATTGTCTGAAAACATTCTTGCAAATACGTCGAGTGCGTGTAATTTAATTCTATGTATAATTCTTGAGCGAACAATGACGTTTCTTAAATTCGTTTGTCATCAGAATGCGCTGAGAAGCATTGTTTCGCAGAAGAGACGATGAAATGCGATTTAAGAAGATCGAGAGCAGCGGGATTGTTTTTTTTTTTGTCTGAAACACGTGCGGACCGAATCAAATCGCAATGTAATTTGCAATTAGCGACGATTGTCATCATCGATACGCGGCGACGAAACAATTCTCACTTTCCTCGTGTGTGTGTGCGCGCGTTCACGAGAGTTCGCACAACGCGAGCGGCGCTTATACACATTACGTAAAACGTGCGAAAAGTTATTTCTGGAGGTGCCACCGGACGCGTTTATATATATATCAATAAAAAAAAAAACCTCTACTTTGTGCTATTGCCACGTGTATCTTTTCTATATCTCGATTATATCTCGCTGATTAACTCTCTCGAGGATCGGCGGCGCCTGACGTTTCGCAGTTAAATGAATTTTATTCATTGCGGCTTACTATCGTAACTCCCGCGCACAGGAATGCGACGAAACCTGACATAACAACTCGGTCGATCGACGCGGCGCGTACCGCATGAATTATTCATTATTTTACTACGAGGACGTAAAGTAGTAAGATGTGTCCGGTTAAAAAAAAAAAAAAAGAAAGAAAAAAAAATCTAAGAAAGAGAAAAAGAAAACCGGCTACTGTTAACCGATCCCATTACGCCGGAGAGAACACTATTACCATTAGCGGACGGCGGGTGATCGCACGTTACCCAATGTTACTTTCTTCCGTGAGCTTTGTTGCCGTGCGATTATCCCGCTGCGGCGTTTAGACGCGAGAGCGAGAGCGCATGCACGTACGTACGTACGTACATACGTATGTACATTACACGTACGTTACATGCAACGAGAGTTCGAAAATTCGAGTTTGCCGCTGCTCGGTGGTGTTTGTCGCTGCATGTGCGTTACGCGATCCGTGTACATGTTGAAAGGATTATATATGTATGACCGGCATTCGTAACGTCGGCATTCGACTCCGTGCCGTGGATGTGTGCCACGTGAGAAGTTTTGATATGCGCGGCGCAACGCCTTGGGAGCATTTCACTCTGATTTCATCCTCCTCGTCGAGCGTTTGACCGACGAGTTATTTATTTGACGTCCGTGATGCGCGCGATCGTCACAAGCGGGAAGCTACACGCGCGCGCGAAGACGTGAGTCGTCGAAAAATAACGCTGGTCGCATCTATGTGGGTCAGTGGTCCTCCAACCGAAGGACATTGCTCTCGATAGATGTCTTTTCTTTTTTAATTGCTCGCCGAGCGATCCAATGCGATCCTCAGCTGGAACAAAAAAAAAAACGACGAGATGTGATAATTGTGAGAGATGAAAAAGAATTTGGAAGGAACACAAGAGAGGACCGAAGTGACTCTCGATGATTCTCAATTTCACTCAAGGCCTCATTTCGGTCCTCTTCTTTTCTTTTAGGTTTTATTTTTTCATCTCTGTGATTTATTTAAGTTGACTCACACACATCCCTCGGATGTTTCTCAGAATAAAAGAATTGAATTTCTTGTACAATCTCACCCGACAACAAACAAATGTCCAAAATAACAAAAACATAAGAGATGAATTCTGCAAGACCACATTCAGTTGCAAGGACGCTCGCGTTTGGTTTTTGTAATTTTTTGTAATATTTATTTTTATTATTTTTTTTATTTATTAATTGTTTTTTTTTTTTTTAATTAAGAGTTTGACTTAAAAAGACAAAGAAGAAGTGTTTGCGCAGTCTTTGGCGAGAGCCCGCCGTGATTCATACTCGCGTCGTTATCGTCGCGATCGCGACGAAGAAGAATAAGAAGAAGAAGAAGAAGAATCTGTGTGATAATATCAGGGCGAAGGTATCAGAGCGAGGCGACTAGTGCGAATTCATTAAATTATATTATTAAATTCGCGTTAAGACGCGAGTGAATGTGTATCTCGCCGCTGCGTAATATTACATACACGCGCGTGTGACGCAGCTCTCTTTCTTCTCACCTGTGTACATGTCACTTATTATTATTATTATTATTAATATTACACATAAACCAGTTTATAATTCGTTCACACATTTTGTCGAGCAATTGCGCGATCAAAGATTGCTACAGAGATCCGAGATTGTGATATTTAACGGAGTCTCTACGTCAACGATTATTATCTTCTTCTTGATTGCGCGAGCGAAGTCGCTCGCAAACAATCAAAACCAATCATCTCGATCGACGTAAATTATCGATATAAATTCCGATTACTCGCAAAGTGATTCCAAATGAGGTTTTTGATATATCGAAGCGATTGCTCACAACTATTTTCCGCGGAAGTTTGACGAGCGCGCGGTAAACGCGCGTTGGGGAAAATTCGCGATCCCCGCGGCCGCGAAAACGGTCGGACAACGTGTACACGGACGCAAATCCGCCGATTGCAATTAATTAATGCGCAATATTATAAAATTTTCTCACGAAAGTTAAACGCGCGTCGTCGAAGACGACGAGTTTCACCGACGCCGAGATATAGAAGAGAGATCGTTGTCTCTCTCTGGTGTCTCTCGGATGTATCGGTCGAGAGTCCTTAATTTCAGAGTGTTCGCATAAGGGTTGGACGCCACATCCGCCTTTGAAAATACTCTCACCCGTATCACATGCTCGGATATAATAGGATCAATGAGAGGCCTACATTTACAGGCCGTTCACTCGTGAGAGACTCCTCTTCTGGGCTTCTTCTCGAACAGTGGCCGCTGTGGCGGGCTTCCAAGTCAGAATTAATATTGTTTCTTACACACGTTGGAAAAAAAAAATTTATGTCGAAGAGAATGTGTGATCGTGCGTCGAATAAAAAAAAGTTAATTTTTTTCACACGGTGCGCGATTTGCCAAACGACACAAAGTGAAGATCCGCACGGGACGAAAATTATTCGTTGAAAAGAATAATATATATTTATTATGTATTTTTATAACAATAATATATTCTATATATGTAATATAGAATATATTATTATATTATAAAAATTATAATATATATATTATTATAATATATATATATATTAATATATATAATATTTATAACGTATGTTTTATTATTTTTATTATTTTTTCAGGGGAAGAACGATTCTTTGTGAATATTTTTTGCAAATTCCGGCTTGTTTAGAGGAAAGAAATCTTCATTTTCGCGTCTGACGTCACAATTCGACAAAGGGGATGTTTTTTCATGTTGCGCGCGTGTTGATTGTGTCCGGACGGAGACGGATTCTTATCTCCCCTGGTTGCCAGAGCGCAACTTCGGCACAAATGTTGAAAAGAAGATTTCGTCTTCTCGACGGTACTTGTATAAATTTTTCTCCGGGAAGGACTCGTGTCGAAATCGAACACACACGCGAAATATGTGAACACCTCTCACGCCCACCCTTAGATTTCTCAGTCTATTCCAAATAGATTCACGAAAAAATTGTCGTATAATCGCGGACTCTCCTTTAAAACTTTCGAAAACATTCAATACCGCTTGAAGAATTTCGCTTGAGAGACTTTCGACGTCTCTCTCAAGGCTGACGGCATCATCGATTCCATATCTATTAATATATCGTCGACATTTAAATAATATCGATTGCGGATGCAAAAACCGCTGTTACATTCCCCGCACACGGTCCGTCGTTTCTCGTAACGTACACGCGATAATAACGGATTGAGATGTTAAAATGCGAGAGAGAAGATTTTCTTCGGAACCCGAGGGGCGAATTCGCGACCGCGTATCCTTGGCCGATATATGCGCGCGTATCAATTTAAAAAAAAATCTGCTCCTATAATCCGCTGGAAAAAAAAAGATGATGACCGTGTAACGATGAGCGTGTTGTCGATAATGTCTGTGAAATCTTATTCTCTTATTTTCTCGGCAATTTCGTTGTTCAACGACGAGGTTTCGTGACTTTTACTCCTTTTGACTCTCCGAAGACGACGATTTGCGCTGACTCGCGATCATTGCCACAGTTTTTCTTATTAGTTTTTTTTTTTTTTAAATTTGATCATTAAAAGGCACGTTGTTGTTGATACGCGCAGAACAATGTCTAAGAATTGACTAGTGAATCTTTTCTGTTTCGCTAACAAAAAATGTTTTGTTGGCGAAGCAACGAATTTAAAAGAGACAATTTTTCTTGCCGCTCGTACGGCGATTAACCTTCCTGCTGTTCCGGCAAAAAAATGTTTTTTTTTCCCGTCACGCGATACCGAGGAAGAGCCTGAGAGAGAGAGAGAGAGGGGAATCGAAACATCATTTACGAAGAATCAATTGTTTGTAGAAAATAATTAAAGAAAAATCATTTTCTGCTACAAACATCCAGTTTGTTATTAGCTCGGCAATCGGCCTTTAAATTCGCCCGTGCTTTTGGGGACTTTGGATGCTATATCCTCCGGATCTCCCCGAGGAGAGAGATGTGCGCCGCTCGTATAATCTCTCTCCTCGTGGTCCGCTATGACCGCCCACTTGCGAAGCCCCGACATGGACGACGGCCGCGCGATGGGTGAAAGTCAAACTAATTACGGCGAAGTACG